GTGTCAGAATGAGCGCCTCATAACAGATAAGGCAATGAGGTTCAGAAAGGCCTAGACACTTGTTTGCTGACAAACAGCTGGTAAAAGACAGGACAGGAATTCAACCAAGCTCCTTCTGGGTTCACCAAACCACTCTGCCCATAAAATAACCCCCTTTGGGTAAATGCTCCCATGTCCCAGATCTTCTAAAGCAGGCACTAGTAGCATTTCCATTTTTCCTGAAGAGAACACTGGAGCTCAGAGATGTTAAGGAACTTGCCTAAGGGCACTCAGCTGGTGCTGACAGAGCCCGCCCTTGAACCAGTTCCTGGAGCTGAGGACCAGTCCTGTCTTCACCACACTTCAGAGTAAGGGAGCTACTGGGCTCCTCCCAGGACCCAGTCAGTGATGAGGAGGACACCCAGAAGCCCTACTCGCAGACCCCTGCTCTCCCCAGGCCCTGGTCCCTTTGCAAGGAGGCAGGGACCTGTAGCATGCTGGGCACACAGTCCAGGAAGGACCCGCTCAGCAAATGCAATGCAAGGAGTTGTTGGCTCTCAACTTGGGATTCAAATTGTAATAGCCTTGGAACTACGCTGCTTTAATCAACTGGGGCCTCAGAATTGTATTTCCTTTGGAGAAAGGGGAGCCAAGGACCCAAGAGGCAAAACCAGCAAAAATCAGCTGACATCAATGAGCGAGACAGAATTCGACAGCCCTGAAAGAAAAATGCAACAACCACAGAGTACAACCTTCCAACAATACTTCTTTGTCTGTGCACACACCAACATCGCCCTCTGCTGCCCGTCACCAGGATTTCCATGTCTCCTGGGCTGAAGGCTGGTGGAAGGCCGACCTCCAGCTGTCCCTGGGGCCTCCCCGACTTCTGAGGCAGTACACACCGCCACAGGGGCACTCTTCACATTACCGTCTTGATTCGTAAAACGTCACACGGAATCAAGGATGCCCCATGGAGTTGTGCTAAGCAGTGGCTCTGCCCCTCGTTATGGGCAAAGAGATTTAAAATATGGACCCTGGAACTTAGCACCCCAGTGCCAATGAGTGAGGTCAGGGACCCCACCCTCTGCCTCTGAGCAGGGCTATGGGGCAGGTACCAGAAAAGGACAGTGCTTTTCCTGTTTTCTCCTTTTTGTTTTTCTTCCAGGAGCACAGAGAAGGCATCCTTCCTGGCTCTGAACAGGCATCTTCCATATCCCACGGCTGAAAACGTTCTGAGGTCTCACGAGTGGATTCAAGCACGCGGCACCTGCCAGCCCTCTCAGAAGGCCACCACAGGTGACTCCTGCAGCCTCGGGTGGGACGAGGGAGGGACCGGGGTTCCAGGGACTGCCCTGCCCCCTCCCGGCCTGCCTCACATTCTCTCTGCTTGCAGCGTCCCAGTGCACGTGTGCCCCGGTGTGCCCTCTCCAAGCAGGTGCCTGGCGGCATTGAATGAGCTGCAACGAGCAGCAGACTGCTTGGCTCTTTGGCCAAGTCACAACCTGAGCCCTAAGCAGGCAGCGGGTCCCAGGACCCTTAGGGATGGGAGGTGAAGCCACTCTGACCCTGGACAACTCCCTCCCTCCTTGTCCCCACCTCGAGCTGTGACTGCTGTCCCAACCATGTCTTCCTGAACCAAATAGCCATGGTCCCAAAGAGCTGACTGCCTGGAAATCCAAGGGTCCTCCCTGGGGGCTTCAGACCTGCCCCGTCTCCTTGTCAGATGGGCCCTCCATTGGCAATGGGGTGAATCACTTCAGCTTTCAGTTTCTCCCCACACAGCACCGTCACAGAGTTACTGACCTGGATCCAGCACGGAATCTGTAGCCAGGTGCCCTGCTTCACAAAAGGACCCAGCCCCAGAGGGGCGCATTTTATGAAGCAGAGCAGTCCCGGGGAACAAGAACAACCGTGGCCGAATGACAGCCTGGGCGTTTCCCAGGCAGCCTGGGCCTCTGGGACCCACAGGACACCGTGCCATGTACAAAAGCAACTGGTCACCAAGGTGCGTTGTCAGTTCACTGTGTGATTTACTTTTTGTTGCATCAAACCCAGCGACGGCCTTTGGGCAAGGCTCCGGGCCAGGTGCGTGTGCCGGGAACAGAAAAAGGAACAACTAATGCGCCTGTCCTCAAGCCAACGAGGAAGGTCAAAGTAGGTGCACGAGGGCTGAGCAAAGCAAGGCAGCTCAGGTGGAGGCCCCTCGAGAGAGGGAGAGGATGGCGGTGCCTCCGCAGGGCACCCGCCCACTGAGGAGCCCGTTACCGCCATGGGAGGCTGGGGAGGCCTTGAGAGGGTGGACAGTACCCCCCTGACAGTGAAATCGCCTGGGCCAGGGTGTGGAGGTGTGAAAAGGCAGAGCGTGCCTGGGAAAGGGGGACCCTGCTGGAAGGTGTCAGGTACCCCAGGAAGGCAGTGAGCTTGGAGTGGAAGGGAGGCTGGGCCCAGGGCAGCAGGCTCTGATGGAGCTAAGGCATCTGGCAAATTCTGTGGGAGAGGGAGCCCTGCTGGAGGAGCTGAGGGGAGGGGTCAGGACCTGAGCTGTGAGGTAGAAGGGGTCAGGAGGGGAGGCGTGTGGGCTAGAGGGGGTGGGTGGATCAGTCAGGAGGTTAACGCTGAGCAAGGCCCCAGAAGGATCCACGGCATAGGGAGGCCATGGAGGCAGGGGGTCGGGGGCAGCAGCCTGGGTAACTGTCCTTGTTATTTCTGGTCTTGGGTATATGGCTTGTAGGCCTGTGGTAATCCCTCCCCCGCCTGCCCAGCCTCCCTAGCCCAGGAGGGGCCCAGAGTGACCCTCTTTCCTTATGACTACTTCTCCCAAACCCAAACCTACACCCGTGCTGCTGCCCCCTCCCCTTCCCAAACTTGGAGCCAGCCAGTCAAGGTCCAAACACCAGATGGGCCCAGGGCCACGCCGGGCGCCTCTGTGGTGACAGAGCCCTAGGTCTGCGGCCCTAATGGGTTTGCCTGCAGCCCACAGGCTGGACCAGCCAGAGTTCTGGCCCAGTGACATCTCAGCACCTACCTGTCCCCAGATGGGCAGGAAGGCAGTGGGCCTCCTGCCTTGCCCAGGAGCTCACCGAGGCTTTCCAAAGGGACAGGGACAGACTGGAGGACGGTGCGCTGACCCCGGAAGCAGGGCCAGCTCACCCAACCCCCAAGGCCAGGCCTGCCCACCCGCTTCCTCCCGCCTTCCTCACACACATGTTCATGTTCACTTGTGCACAGAGGTACACAGTGCACACATGTACACACACGCGCGCACACACACACACTGAAATTCACCCCATTGTGGGGCCCGTAGGAGCTGCTGGTGCCTGGCCAGGGCACCACTGAGGGAGGAAGGCAGAGGTAAACTCTGTTGCTGACCGAGAAAGCATGTGGTGGAGGGGACGGAAGTGCATAAATGCCAGAATACAGGCAAGAAGGCGAGGGTCAGAGGTGGGAAGTAAAAGGAAGCTTGGGAGAAGGGAGCAGACACAAAGGGCCTAGAGCAAGAACCGAAGGCCGGTCCCCCGACTGGAACCATCAGGACTTGCTGAGTGTGCCTGTGTTAGCTACCACCCTTGCCCTCAGGCAGCGCAGATGCACAGACACACACGTACACACACCTACGTGTGTGCAGGCACATGCGCACATACGGAGAGAGCAGTGCACATTTGACTAAAGTGCGATAGTGACAAGGAAAGCTGCCCTCTGAACACAAGTAGTTACCAAGATTACCTTTAATGTGCTTTTCAACTCATACTGGACTAATGAAGTTTGAGAATCCTCAGAAATTCAAATCACCCACCCCCTGCAATTAACCCTTGGGGAGGATTTGGGAGAAATCGCGTTCTGTATCCAGGACGCCCTTTCTCCCCATTCTCCTCCCTGTCTCCAGAACACACAGCCTCTGAAGCACGTACACCATCTCTCTGGGGCTTGCTCATTTGTGCCAAATAGTTCTAGGCCTTGGCGAGCCGCCTCGCCAGTCCCACCCTGCTCCGTGCACCCCATGGGCCACCCACACTGGGCTCAGAGTCACTGGTGGACGACCCCCACCTCCTGTTCTTGGCTCTGCTGTGGCCAGCTGGTCCACGTCAGCTGAGGTGCCAACCTAAGTGCCTTGGGTCATAGATTCTGGGAGAGAATCCCAGACTAAAGGCTGCGGAAAAAAATTCTGGGAGGTCCCCTCACCCTGACCCAAAGCTCCAACAGGATTTTTTCTGACGGACCCAACTCCAGAATGAAAACTCGAGGTCAGTCTAAAGAGTTGACACTCAGGTGCCAGGCACTGTTCTAAAGGTCTTTACATATACTGACTTCTTCAAAGACAATAACAGCCCTCTAAGGTAGGAACTATTGTTATCAGTTCCATTTTACAGATAAGTAAACTGAGGCACAGAGAGAAGTTAAGTAACTTGACCAAGAGCACACAGCTAATAAAAGGGTTCAAACCCAGTCAGAGTCTGGACTCTTAACCATCACATGAAATGGCCTCTTCGTCATGTTCCCGTTAAAAGCAATGACACTGACTGAGCCTTGCTTGACCCCCATTAGCAACTCTTCCACGCCTCTGAGGCCATTGAAGCAGCCTAGAGAAACACAGCTACAGAGATTCCTCTAGATTCAGGCACGAACCTCAAAGCACCCGCTCTGAAACCCTCAGGAATAATACAGCTGAGCGCCCTGAGGCACCAACTCACCAAGGAAGAGCGTCCCCTTCTAGGATTTGCCAGGGTCCTTTGTCAGTTGTGCTGGAGAAGCCTGGTTCCTGCCCTCTGCCCGCTGCCCACCCCTGCCCCTTGCAGAGCCCAGGTGAGGCCAAGACCCTGGGCTCAGACAGTGATGGGGCTAAGGATCAGAAGGGGGACTTGGATGAGGAACAGCCTCTCAGCACAAGGATTCACCCACCCGCTGGATGAACCCTCTGCCCTCCTCACCCCACCTCACTTCAAGCTCCCCCCCTCAACTGCACGGGGAGAGGCCGAGACAGACCAAGGCGAGGAGAGGGAGGCTGCAGTCCGGTTCCGACTTACTTGAAGAAGTCCTCCTTGCAGTAGACGCTCCCGGCCCTGGAGAAGCACCTGTCCGCCAGCTGCATCTGGCAGTCTGCACACTTGAGGCAGGAGCTGTGCCAGTGTCTGTCCAGGACCTTCAGGATGAACTTGTCCAGGATATGCTGGTTGCAGCCGGCGCACTGGGGGATCTCTGTGGGGAGAGGAGAGAGAGGCAGTGAGAGCCTTCCAGACGGCACTGCTGATAAAACCAGGCCCTGTGTGGATGCCTTCCCATTCTGCCCGTGGTGGGAAAGGACAAAACCCAAACCCCTAGGGATGCCACATATTGTTGTGCAGGCTGTACACTGCACCGAGGTGCCTGGTCAAGAGGGCAAGTGGGGACTAAAATCCAATCCATGCTTTGCTAACATAGCTTGGGTGGTTTTGGCCCAGAAGGGTCAGCTGTTTCTCAGAGTACCACAGGATAGCAGCATTAGCTAACCCAACTTATGCCAGCTGCAATCCACAGCCCAGCGGCCAGGAAAGCCAGACAACATTCACCTCTGTTTCCATGATATTTTCACTACTGGGTGGAATCTGTGCTAAAAACATCAGCCCCCAAAGTGAGCCCTGGCTAGGCACGCACTGAGAGGCCATCTAGCCTAAAAAGCAAATGGTTTGTGTCGGGGGTGGGCAGTGACTGACGTCCAGGTCTGCGGGGGAATCTCAATATTCTGAGAGAATCTCCTGAGAGTATTTTAGTGAACTGCAACAGATATCATGGATTGGCTTGATAACACCCCTTCCGAATGTGCCTTCCTGTACTGCAGACGGGAAAACTAGGAACTGCTTTTCCAGACTCCCTTGCAGCTCAGGTCCCAAATGTGAGTTAGAGTCTGCCCATCAGTTGCACTTAGGAGAGACCTGAATTCAGAACTGAGTTAAACAGAGGCACAGCCGAGGGGCGGGTTCCCATTTTGCTGGTGCGGAGCACGGCGGAGGCTGCGAGGGTCTGTGGTTGTGATGACCTGATCAATCAGGGCAGAGGCGGGGAAATCTGGGGGCTGGGAGTGATTCCCTGAAGCTCGGTCCAGAGCTGGCTCGTGGAGTTGAAAGCCACCTAAGACTCAATAATTGATCACTTTCTACTTAGATAATGACAGTGGATTCGGTTGTCTACAACTGAACCCTAACCACTGCCCCACCCTGTTCCTGTCCCTGGTGACTTCCTATCCGAGGTCTGTTTCTCTGCCACCCCATCTTTGGGGTTTGCTTAGGGGGTTGACAGTATTTTGAGTCACTGAAGTCTTTTCCAAATCTACAAAATGGTCAGGCTCCCATGGTTGGATGAACAAATAGTGCTAGCATCTCTGGCCCTTTTTCCTTGTACTTCTTCCCCCAAAAATGAGAAGGTAACAAATATTAAGAACAAAAACATAAAAGTATAGGCGTTTGGCTTCCTAGGTAGCCTCCGATGTAGCAGGTCATGAGGCTGGCAGCCCCGTGCTTTCTCACCTCGGTTATTATAGCACTTTGCTAATTGTTTGCTCACACACTGTCTTCCCCATGAGAAGGCAGAAAGAAAGAGGAACAGTGTTTCTTCCCCTGCTTTGGGTCCTCACTGCTGCGCACAGTGTCTGACACACCAGGGGAACCACGGATGTTCATCGCTGAATCAGTCATTGATGAAATCCTCCCTAAGAAGGTCACCTTGAAACAGGTCTTCACTCGTTTCTCTGTCATGCTCCAAAATGTCAATGAAAGTAGTAAAACCAAGTCTCTCACGAATCATACATGTTTCTCAGTTCCCATCATATTTGTTGGTTTGATATAATTTTAAAAAGTGTTAACATAAGGGAATTAACCTCAAAGCACTGGGGAAAATTTTTGAACACACTTAAACTTACGTAGAGAGAAAGCTTTCTCAAGTACTAAGTCATTTGTGTCTAAAACTCACAGACAGGGACATTCACTAAATGTCATCACCTGCGCTGTACACACAAGGGTCAATCTTGGACCCAATTAAACCCCAACCCCAGCCTGTTGCCTTCATGGCCTCGGCAGCCAACGACATTTGCCTGAAAGTTAGACCCATGAGACACCTTGCCCTTTGACCCCTTTCTCAGACCAAAATGCTGCATAAAAACTACCAGGAGTCACACAGAGGTGGCTGCGTGTGGGTCTAGAACCTGCTGCCTGTCCCGGTGCATATGGGATTTTTTTCCATCTCAAAAGCTTTCCTCCTTGACAAAGAAAGTGTTCGACCAATAAGTACTTACCAGGGAGTCCCAGCAAATTGCTAGGCACACAATAGCTACGGGAATTTCCATCCAGTGAGAGGGGCCAGGCAGGACACAGGGTAACACTGTGGATGCTGGGGCCAGACTGCCTGGGTGTGAATCCTAGCTCTGCTTTTCAACCTTGAACAAATTACTCTGCCTCTCTCTACTTCAGTTTTCTCACCTGTAAAAGGGGTGTGATGATGACAATAGTACCCAGTAGGATTGTTGTGAACAGCGAAGGACTCAATACAAGTAAGACAGGCCCTAGTATACAGTAGGTGTTTAATAAGGGTTTGCTATTATTAGTTATTTAAGATAACTAGGAACCAGGCATTAGATGTTGTGTTGCTGTGGCTAAGGGAGAAGAAAGTTAGGGACCCACGTTCATGGTCTTGATCTTACTGAACCCTTTAGAGAATCTCTGCAAAGATGGCATGACCCTCCTACAGGGCTCAGAGAGTGGCAGGTCACACAGCAACCCTGCAGAGGGCCTAGGGGCACGCCTGTCTGCCAGCCTGCCCTGCTCCAGGTAGGTGCTCATTCAGCCACACATCTGCCTCTCTCCAGGGACCATCCGCGAGCAGGGGGTGAGACTCTGAGGCGTGAGGGTGGACAACCAGGAGCTCCTGTGGTGTGACAAGCCCAGCCTTAGGGGACTTGGAAATTGGGGGACATCTCAGGTAAAAGAGTCCTAAAGGGCAAGGGGGTGCGGTTTTTCCGGATGCCTGCGCATTTGGAGCTCTGGCATCATTTTGCGTGGGAGGGGAAGGATACCCTAAACAAGATGCCCTCCTGCTCAGGGACGTGGTTTGTGGACATACGGGGCCGAAGCCGCAGGGACCTGTGCCCACCGGCCGCGAGTGCCCGCCCCAGACCCCGGGCCGTGAAGTAGCCGGCTACGGGGTCTTTGTGTGAGCAAACGGCTGGATGCCGAGGAACCAGGTACCGACCCGGCGGAGGCAAATTAACCCTTGGAGAACGGGGCGGAGAAGCTCCTCCGGCCTGGCTCTGGGCGTGCCCCTGGCGGCGGGCCCGCTCCCTCCCCGCGCCTGCCCCCTCCGGGGCCAGAGGGCCGCCCATTCCCACCTAATGGTTGCTTGGCCTTGCCTCGGAGGACAGATAGGGCTATATTTCTCCTCCTGGCCACAAATGCACGGCGATGAGGGCGAGGATGTATGCCCATAAAATTTATTTCGAGCAAGGTATCTACCGGGAGCCTTAATATGATGAGTATTCAAGAGAGAATACATTAAGGCTAATGTATGCAGGGAAGGGCGGTGCGGAGCTCCGGAGGCTGGGAAGCCGAGACAGCCTCGCGTTAAGGATCAACACTAAAAGCAGACAGACAAGCCATTTCAGCCACCGGCTCGCAGGGGATGCTCCCCGCTGGGTCAGGCTGGGCCACCCAAACTCGGGCTTCCCAGAGAGGGGCCTTGGGACCAAACTGGGGTCCTCTGGTTTGGCAAAAATGTCAGAGACATACTAAGGGGGCTTTTTAAGTTAAAAAATAAAATCTTCCCCGCTATATTCCACTGTAGATTGGGGGGGGGGGGGGGTCTTTTTTTTTTTTTTTTAAAGATTGACACCTGAGCTAACATCTGTTGCCAATCTTTTTTTTTTTTTTTAATTCTTCTCCCAAAAGCCCCCAGTACACAGTTGTATATTCTAGTTGTAGGTCCTTCTGGTTGTGCTATGTGGGATGCGGTCCCAGCATGGCTTGATGAGCCACGGTGACATATCTGTGCCCAGGATCCTAACTGGCGAGACCCTGGACTGCCAAAGCAGAGTGCTCGAACTTAACCACTGGGCCAGCCCTGGGGGGCATTTTTTGAAACAAAGATAATGTAGAAATGGTTTAAGAGATCCGTAATATACCAATAATAATAGTAAAACCAGGCGTCAAGAGCCTGGTATGAACTGGCCAGGTCCTGAATGTATATTTCCTCAATAATCCACACACCTTGGTCAGGAAGGTATTATTATCACCCTCATTTTGCAGATGAGGAGTGGAGCCTCTGAGAGGTCAAGCAGAGTGCCCGAGGTCCCACAGCGGGAGAACCAAGATTTGAAAACAGCCTGTGCTTAAGGTTGGCTAATTTGACCTGAGAGCCGGGGGTCTGAGATATCACCTCGCCTGGGTGGCTCTCCCCTGTCATTTCGTGGAGGAGAGATGGAGTCGTAGAGACAGTCTCAAAGCTGCTGTGTGTACAGTGACGAGGGGACACATGAGCCACTGGGCTTGCACTCCCTAACAATTGGGCAAATGGAGATGTTTGAGGCACAGATTTAGATCCGTCAGGCAGAGTATGCATGTGTTGTATGGGACAGACACAATGCTCAGGGGAGGGCTGGACGCAGGAGCCCCTGTCCCCCTGGTCCCCTCCACCCAGCAGCAAGGTGCCAGCTAGTGGACAGCATCTGTCACGTTCAGATTCATCCCTGCCTGTGAGGGGGTGGAGACTTGTGAACCCAGACCCCACACTTCAGGTGACAGCACCCTGTGCAATTATTTAGATTAGTGTGAAATGTAAGCAAGCTATCCAGAAATTTTTCAAAGAACAACAAAGTCTTTATTTTTTTCACCCAATAAATTATGCTTTTGTTTTTTTTTTTTTACAATTTGGAGAGACTGAACAGGACAGAGGTCTCCTACCAGAAATAAAATTGTAACCAAAATTTCCAAGGGGCAAGACGATTTCCAAATCCCTAGTGAACCCGACTTATTTCATGCGGCATTTGATATACGAAATTCCATTTTAGAAACTGGAATTTGAGCAGAGTCTTGGAGTCACTGAGATAAAATTGGATCTATAAACTCAGTTCCCAACGTGGGGAGTCATTTCATTTAAAATGAAAATTTGTATCTTATCTGCACACAAGTGTCCTGTGGTGATGCTCTCTGCTGGGCTCTACAAGAGTAAACTCAGCA